GAATTCTCCATAAAAGAACACTCCACCATAATCACGTAAAACAGCACCAATAATCTCATCATCTATCTTCTTTTGCTCATCTGTAAGCTTCATGAAGTCTCTGTCATGATTTGCTTTCAACTCTTCTTTGTTGCAACTGAGCTCATCAAAGATCAAAACATAGAACTCTAACTACCATTTAGATACACCTTGGGCATAGATTCAAATCTTCCCAGTGAAGTTCCATTACTTTTCAGAATCCTATCAATCTCCTGAAGACAAAACTTTTTCTTATCAGCATCACTTAGAATCATTCTTGTATTAAAAACTGAAACCAGTTGAAACTATGGAATAATGAAGGCACAATAACACGGTACAAATGAAATATACATAGATAATCTGAGAGTAAAGTCAAAGAAAGTACTAACCTGGTATATTCAATTCTTGTTTATTTTAACTCTATGTCATCCGAAAGAAATTCCTATGTACTTTTCCAAACAACTTCAGGTGTAGATAAACTATATGAGCTAAGCATAATACAAAAATTCGGCCGAAGATCTGATGGAGTGCACGTAAAACTCCATCTTACAATATCACCAATATACTCTTGGTTATCTTCTAGCAAACTTCCTGCATAGCAAGCATCTTTTTATGTAGGATACACAACTTTATTAAACGTTTTTATATCCTTATACGAAGTTGGACCTCTAATAACGTTTAGAAGCACTCGAAGATAATATGCAGACTCTATCTTGCGTGGGGCATAATTAATTCTACCAATACTAAAACCTTTCACCCTGACTTTAAAACACTCCTCTCTCTCTGATTATAAGTAAATATAGTAGGAATTTGAGCATATATTAGTATTTTAGCATAAGAATCTACCTTGTTCAATTCAAACCATGCAAGGAACATTGTATTTTTAATAAGTTTCACAGATACTACTTGTTCCACTTGATCACCATCTTTCCATACCACATTCTGCTTTCCTGGTAGATGCCAATTTAGTTTTTCAACTGCTGTTGATCGCTAGTGAATAGGAAACTTAAAAATCCTCCAAACAGCTTCACATGCAAAAAAATACCTGAAAGCATATATGAATTAGTTATTCTTTCTGAAAATGATATAGTATTAAAGCAAGATAATATCAAGTAAGTAAGAAAATCACAAAACATTAAAAAAACACTAACCTGCAATCGAAGAAATCTTTAATCTCATCTTTATTTTCACGAGAAACACTTTTGTTTTTAGCATAAGCATTGTGTTTTTGTTTAGAACCATTCCCGTGATTTCTTGTTCCATAATTTTCTTGACCCTTCTCTGGTGGCTCAACAACAACGGCTACACGATCTACTCCTTTAGTAATATATTCAAATAAATACTTGATAGATCCAGACTGATTGCACCATTCTACATTAGTGTGAGCTCGATAATGAATTGATAACTCTTTGTTATATGGAATAACATATCTGTTATCACACTTAAAACCATTTTTCTCAACAAACTTATTTGCTTGCCCACGCCTTTTGTAAACCGTAAAATCTTCTATGTTGACTGTTGTTTTCTCTGCATGAGACTTAAGATATAACTTAGTGCATTTACCATTCTCCATACATGGTGAATTCAAGTTAACATGTCCGCAAGGTCCATGAATCATCATATCTTCAGTAACTTCATGTAGTACAGGTTCCTTGAAATGATCAGAAACTCAGCAGAGATAATCTTATCAATATAATTAGTAGTATGAAACTTGCATTTAGGATGCATGAAGAGAAGAATATGAGCATGTGGTAGACCTCATTTCTGAAATTATATGGTATACATTGCTGTGTAATGAAAACGTTAGCATTAGGCTACAAAACACAATTTTGTAAAAAATAACAACAAACAATTGACTGAATAACTTACATGAAAGATTTTTCCCTAACATGGCCTTCTCTGTCAGATAAACCATTAGAGAATCAAGCTTTATCTTGAAAATACAGCAAATGATATCTGGCCTATCCTGAGACTTGAGATTACGCTTCTTTGGATACCTACTAATTTCAGGCAATTTAGGATTACACGTAAATGTAATGAACAAATCAGGAAAACTGAAATGCCTGCATATGGCCATAGCGTCTAGATACATATTTTCATGTATCTTGGGCCGCCTTTAAATGATGCTGGTAGGTAAAAACGATTTCCATGCTCCCTTAGATCAGTAACTGCATCTTCTTCTGCCTGCTTTATAGAGTCACAACTGTCATATCTCAAAGAAGATTGGTTCTTTCTCAAGTAGGATAATCTGTTAGCTTCTATCATAGTGTAGCTATCAACCATAAATTGTTGAAATAACCTTCTTGAACTAAGCAAAATTGGTGATTCATTCTCTCGATCCTAAATACGGAATGCCAAAAATTGACGCATACTTATACCTTCCTTCTTAGATTTCTTAGAAGCAGTGGTAATTTCTTTTTTCTAATATGTAGCCTAAAACCATCCTCTCCATAGGGAAAGAGCAATGGATACTGGAGAGGCATATAAGACGGATGGATTTCACTTATTCGCTTTAGCTTCCCACAGTGTTTTTGCAGAAAATATCTCTTTTATCCATTTCTATATTGAAATCCCCTGGAATAATTGCAGCAACTTCAGAAGATATTGGCCTATTGTATGTTCTTGCATCTGTAGGGCGAGCATCCAAAATCCTCAAATGATAACTTTCCTCATGATTAGTGTCAAATCGCTCCCTTGCAGTTCTAACTTAGGCTACGTATGGGTTGCTGTCATTTAACATTTTGATTAAAGCCTCAATGATTTCTTTCCTGAGTTGGTTACTTTTAGTAGGCTGTGTTGAATTTTTCGATTTACTGCATGAGAAAAACAAAAAAAAAGTAACTCAAGTGGGCGTGATTATATTTAACCATAGAGTTAGTACACATTAATGTAGACGAATAGTTACATGAGAACATTGGCTTTGTTATCAACCTCGTTTACTGTATCAAATATGTAAACCTGGTATAATTTAGCATAATCACCACGTTTAGGAAGCATACTACCCATTAAATGATTGTTTTCACCTTGCAGCTGAAACATTTGAGGTCATTTTCCTTTTTTAACGAGCGATATATTCTTCCTACTATAGATGTCATAGAGAAAACCAGGTTATAGGGCCTAATATTCTTCTGAAAATGTTTGCTTAGCTCATCATCCGATGTAAGCAAGTGATTCAAGTAAGGAGGAGTATCCTTTAGATGGAGAAAAACAACTTGTCCTTGTAGACAACACAACGTAAATGTTGGGTTTTGAGATCTTCTTTTCTTGTTGATACGCTCTCCATACCAAAAAAATTACACCACAATGTTTACAATTATATACAGGATCAACCTCATCATTATATTCTACAAAGTATACGATTACAATAAGATCAATAATCAAGAATATCAGTTACAAAAATATGTAGTACTTTAATATGACTAAGTAGTGTAATATAGGAAAGACACTAAGTACATGGGGTTTTGTTAATATATTTGTGATCATATAGAGTAGAGAACATGTTTTTAAGTAAGAAAGCAACTTTTTAATTTTACAATGATCTTGTGCTTTTTGTGAAGAAACCGGAGATTGAAAATCATCTTCTTCAAAATTGTATGAATGTGCATCTTCTTGACTACTGCAATCAAAAACTTGTTCATCATACTCTTCATCAGATCTTGTGTATCACAATATAATAACATTTTAATATAGTATTCATTCCATGACATAATACTATTAGGCCGTAATAATAGTATGATAATGTTTGGTAATGATTTCAACCTTCAGATGAATAGTGTTGTGGAGTCTGGTCAGATCTTGTGTTAATTGATTGTAGATCATGTAATGGATCACACCTACTCGATGATGATGAGTCAAATGTTCCACAGTTTGAAAAAGGTAAGTTTGATCCTTCTCTAAATTCATTTACATTTATAGATGATAAACAACTTCTCTCGAAATCAGTAGTAGCGCATACTCCCGAGAAAGTTTGATCAACTGCAAAAGAAATGGACATTTAGAAATTACAGTTAAGCAATCTTTTATAAAATGGGAAATAACGCTACTGTTAATGTTCTTTGGTCTGTAAAACGTACCTTTTCTTTTCTTTGGCTTTTGAGAACTACATCCATTCCCTGTAACAATTTATATAGTTTAAAGTGTAGGTCTTTGAATGAAATGCAGACAATATATTTTGCAGAGTCATGAAAGATAGACTTAAATGTTTGAAAGTGATTACCTGATATTGTAGAGTATCCTTTTGCAGGTGTCTCAAAGAGATTGCAAGTTTCATTTGCCAAGGGTTGACTAATTGGAAAAGGTACATTAGAAACATCATGTAGAACTCTCTTCTCAATATCTAATGTTGATGGTGTTCTTGAACTTTTATTTGACTGCGCATATTGAGTGAAATTCCCCGAATTAAATGCAGTCCTAGTTCTCTTCTTCTTTAGAGAGGTTGGAACTTGATTATTTCCACCACCATCTTTATCTACTTTATTGTTTATAGTGAAATGAACCGAAAACAACAAAGACCTCAAAAAAAGATTTCTGAATGTATTAGATTACGGATCTCCTTAAGAGCAAAACTGTATCAGTAATTTTTGTTAATGAAAATATATTAAGTAGTTTTAAGGAGATAATGTGACTTGTGGATGTACATATTGTTAAGGGAATCTCTATAATTGAGATTACAATATCTTTCACAATATATGCTCAACTGAAAAAATTTTAAGGTACTTATACAATTAGTTATCTCGTGTGCAAGTTTAAGAAAATACAACGAATGAACACCAAATAGCCCGTCTTATTGGTTTGTAGTGTTCTTAATGGAAATCATTAAAAGCTATTGCTAGTACGTAACCTAAGCGCATTTTTTGTCCAAAAGAGGACGTTGGCTCAGAGACATCTTTCTTGATTTTGAAGTTAATATAAATTTGACTCAATTTGTTTCATAGTATGCTATTTAGTTTTGTAGTCGCAGGTTACTCTTTATTAGACCAATATTATTTCTTCTTAACCATTTTCTCTTCATCATTTGTAGGCTCAACAATGGTGAGAGAAAGACCATCATCTGGCAACCTGAACATTTCAGAAATTCTATTTCATACTTAAGGTATGAGTAACATAATTTGATATATCTTGTTTTACAGTGTATTTTATGTTAGACACTTACGTTTTTCTGGAATTCTGCCACCTCAGGTAAAGCATGGTTCATCATTAACTTGGATGTGTCGAATGCATTTGTGATCTGAAGTTTCCCTATGAAGAGAAGAAAAACATTTGCATCAATGTAATATGCAACAACAATACATCGAGGTCAATGAGTTTTTTTCTAGAACACACCTCTGTAGGAACCAATTTTAGCAAACCTGATTAAGCATATAACAATGTTTCCAGTTGTTTCTTGGCAACTGGTCCAAAGTTGATCAGCAAATCTTTCCCACAAACAACATGGCATACGATCATCACTACACAAAAAACAAAAGTTTTGATGAAATACTTGTTCCTGTAAATTCCTTTAAATATTAGTGTTCATAACAAAACAAAAGTAATGATGACCAAGGGCAGAATTACTTGCTATCTCGTAGCTCGAATTCAATATTTTCCTCTCCTTCCCATTGACTTGAACAATTTCAATATCCTTCACGTTAATAACTTGGCCAATCACATCTAAAACATTTACATATCAATATCATTAAACCCGCCCAAACCATAATTTAGAATATTCTTCTGAATATATCATTATCAAGTAAATACTCACAAACCAAGAAGCTGTGGTTAAGGTTTCCACTAAGAATAGTACCAAAATCCATGAGATTGATATACTCCAAGTTGCTTTTGATACTGCACTTCGTGATAGAAGTGTTATTTGTGAAAGCGATCTTGTAATATTGGACGATAATGTCCAGATGCAGATGTCAAAGAGAAGTTCTCAATGAATTTCCATTCTCTTAGTGGAACCAAACGTTCAACACAGCTCGCATAGTTCTTCTTACACGAAGCATGTATCAAAGTACTCTACAAACGTAACTCTTATATAGTTAGATAACATTCCATTTCAATATAATCTATTAATACATTCATGTATAACATTAATTCACTCTTATATATTAATTCACTTACAGCTTCATCACCAAGAATGAGCTCCAAAGTTTGACCAGACTGGACGGTGTACTGCTTCCATGAGTGGAGGACTTTCACACGGATTCACCATCCTGTTTTGTACGGTTTGACATCGGCCAGGTTGGTGAAACCAGTTAGAGAACTCATTATGTGTGTACTGTTTTAGAGAACTGCAGTAGAATAGTATTTAGTGCATTATATATAGGAGGAATAACTATAGGAATGCAATATTCTTATATATATTGTATATTTATGGTTAGAGACTTTCTTGGTTTTGTTTTAGATATTTGAACTAAATATTCTTGAGAATATATCTACATCTACCTAATTGTGTGAACATGTACTATATATATATATATATATGTTAAGTACATTTCAAACGAATATCACTATTTACTGTTTCGAGAATTTGCAAGTGCACGGGATTGATATTTATATGTATAAGATTTAGGTAGTTATGATTGAATTTGAAATATTTCCAAGATTTGCTAATGGAGATTGCTACGGATTCCTGATAATATTTACTTACTTACTATGAATTTTGAATTATAAGTTTAATAATAGTGTTAAATATTGTCTTGAAACCTCATAATCAATTCAATCCAGTTTGGCTTTACATTCATATTATATCTTGTATCTGCTAGAAATATAAACTATTTTATGAACAGGTTTTGATCATGAAGTCTACAAAAGAATAGATAATGAGGTTTAGAGGCATTGACTTAATTCTTTGATTCTAAACAAAGACTTCAATCATTACCATTGTTACTTCAATAGTATATCCAGTGTGATTTCTTAAGATTGTACAATTTTATTAAGATCATACACTGTTAAGATACATCATGGATAATGTATTCCATTCGTGGTTCTCAAATGAATCAGTAGTATGATCTCTAACATCCTAAGTATTTTATTGCATCCAAGTAATTTTTGATGTGATTTCTTTTGATGTTTATTTTCAGGATATTTGAGAGTTTGCTTGTCAATTACAGTTGATGAAGAAGGTGCATAGCTTGATTTTATTCAGTCAAGAAATTTCATTTACGTGTGTTATCTATAGGTCAAATTAATATTGAGGGCATATCGGATTAGTTGGTTATTCATATGATTCCATTGGTGTGATTAGTTTAGGAATAAGTCGAAAATGCCTTAATGAAATTATGAAATACTCTAGTGAATGTAATGGTATGTATTGTAAATATAATGGTAGGAATTGAACATTTTTAAAGTGTGCTTCTCTTTTAATAGTTTAGATTTATGGGTCTTCAAGGAGCAGCTGTTCGAGAAGTCCATGGTTCCACAGTTTCACCATAAACACTCTCCATGCACCTACACAAGCACACTAACATTAATCAACAAAAGCCCACTTTCTTCTAATGTTGACTTTGAAGAACTTGATGCATATATAACCACAAACTATACACACATGTGACTCTCAATTTGTATACTGTAAGACTCTAACATCAAATGTACTGAAAAGAGATAAGACATATATACCTCTGCTTCCTCACAAACGAGCTCCACATGTGCAACATCTGCTTCTCATCCCTTACTCACATCAACGAAATCATTAAGCATCTGAAAGAAACAAGAGTTAATTTCAACAAATTAAAAAGAAGACAAATCATTCACTGTGTATAAACTAATGGGGAACTAGACAAACTCTAAAATGTAATATTCTAATACATACCCTTCTATCTTCAAAATCAGCCACATCATCATCAGCTTCATCTTCCCTATCTCGGTCAGAATGTATATTTTCTAGAGCTATGGGCTGCAAATAGTGCACATAGTAAAAAATCACAACCAATTAGAAATCTTTATAAGCTAAAAGAAGAAATAGATCACTTGAGCTTGATGAGAGGTGGAAGAACTGTCTCTTCTAAAGAAAATGGTATGATAAAAAAATGGTAGTTCATTATTAACAAACTTGATTATAGCATTATAATAAGTTTATACCAATGAAATAATATAAATAGATAAAATTACAGAAATAAAAATTGATGAAACTAATTTTTAATATGCAACAATACATACATATGCTAACCCATAATGTGAAATTAATAAATGTGATGATTAGCTAAAATATACAAGGATAACTTAGTTCCCTAACGAGCACGTTATCATCTTCCTTTGTGAGGATTAGGGCTTGTAGCGGCCAGCTAGAAGGGAAGCTTACTTTTATAACAAACTTTAACGCAAAATGATGAAACTATATTGAGTTGCAGAACTTAGGCAATACACTAGGTATTAGGGTTAGGAGACCTTGACACCGCCGGGAGATGCGAGCAGCCAAGCAAGTAAATACCACGGACTGATTGATCTATTTGCCTAAAGACTGCGTCAGGAGTAATAAAGATCGCATTGTGAAGCTTGCTATTCCTTTTTTTACAAAGGAAGTAAATCGTTACTTGGGCAGCAAGGGATTTCCAAATTTTTGAACATCCTTTATTTCTTGCTCTACCAATTAAAGCCAATAGTGATTAATCTTTTTTCAATTTGGATGTTATTAATTTACCTTTGGTAATATTCCTTTTTCTCAGAACGATATTTTAGTTGATATATGGTAATAACTAATAAGTACAGGTCATGAATACATGTAATCTTAATTAATCGTATCATAAAGCTGCTTTGTTGCAAAGATAAATTATTTGTGGAATGCTATTCTTCTTCTTCTCTTTCTTCCTCTTAACATAAACATTAAACAACATATTTCATGTCTAAAAATGGCAGTTAATTTTTGAGCGATGATGGAGTCTTTCGTTGAACTCTTAAAAAAGCAGGATATTGATAATGCTCTTCATGTTGTGATCGTATCCGTATACTTGGTGACCTTTTTGTGTTCACAATTTCGTCCTTCCCTTACAGGCAGAGCAAGCGGCATCTCAGGAAACGTATTCAAAATTGGCAAATCAATGAATTCAAAGTCACTGCGTCAAATAACAAAACTGTCTTATGTGTGTTCTTCTACTTCTGTCGGGCAATTACACATAAGGACACTTGCGCTCAGTTTGAAACCGAACTATCAACAATCAAGAAAAAAGCCGATGAGCTATCAAAAATCTTGTAACTAGGATCCATGCTTGAATTCATTAACTCCTAATTATTCGTTTTTTCTTCGTAGTTTGAATCAGTTTGGATATTCTTATTCATTAAGCACTATTTCTTTCTTCTTTCGTTCATCATCTTTCCTTTACTTTCTTAATTTAACTCTTTCTCTTTAATTTTTATTGTGTGTTTGATCTAGTTTTTAATTTAACAACTAAGCTTTCAACTCGCGCTACGCGCAAGTCTGTATTAATAATTTAGTTTAATTCTTTTTTTGGCTGAAATCTTTTAAATTATCAAGATTATAATATATTTATAGAAATTTTCTTTAATAGAGAAGAAGATTAAAACATAATATGTAGTTTTAACTATTTTTATTATAAAATAATAAATCTTATTACGTAAAATCATAGTAATAAAATCTAACGAATTATCCAACTTCGACGTGCATACATTTGATTTAGAGAATAATTTCCTTACTAATTTTTTGGTGTTTTATTTTGTGTCCTTAGAATTTCTATAGTTCTTCTTTTTTAAGGTTTATATGTTCAAATATTTAGTTTTTGACTAAATGTCCCACTGATATTGTGTACCTATGTATATATAATATATGATTCATGTTGATTCGGATTTACGGATTTACTTTTGTTAGGATGCTACAATAATCATGTAAAGCTGCTTCTTGCTTCTCTACCAGACCTTCTATGAATTTTAGTTTATATCTCTATTCAGTTTATAAGATCTGTTTTTTTGCAGTCAACTATTTGATAGTTTTTGTTTTGCAAGTTATGATCAGCTCAAGCATCCTCTCAAGTATGGCAAAGATTCAATCGCCCTGGAAGAGATGATTTCAGCTGCAAAGTCCAAGCAACGACAGTTGGCATAAGCAGCAAGACTAGACAAGGCAGTTGCAACAGTGTTGTACACTATGGGCAAATCGAAAAGAGTAAGTTTTAGTATAGATAAACATGATACAAAATTTGTTCTTGATTATGTTCATTCAGATCTTTTGGGCTTGCCGAATGTCCAACCTTCTATCTCAAGTAACCAATATTTCCTGTCTATTATTGATGATCACTCTAGAAAGGTTTGGATTTGCTTACTTAGAACCAAGGATGAGACATTTGCTAAGTTTTGCGATTGGAAGAACTTTGTTGAGAATCAGGTAGATAGAAAAGTGAAATGTCTTAGGACCGATAACGGTCTAGAATTTTGCAACAGTGCGTTTGATGAGTTTTACAGGAAGTATGGCATAGTGAGACACAGGGCGTGCACATACACTCCACAGCAAAATGGAGTGGCTTAACGGATAAACCGAATGATTGTGGAGAAATTCAGATGTTTGCTGAGTGAATCCGGTTTAGAAGAGAGGTTCTGGGCAGAAGCAGCAACAATGGCTGTGTACATTATAAACTGATCTCCGTCAGCTACCATTGGCTTCAAGACACCTGAAGAAATTTAATTGGGAAAGAAGCCAGGCTACAAGCATATGAGAAAGTTTGGTTCACTGGTTTACATGCATCGTGATCAAGGAAAGCTAAAATCAAGAGCTGTGAAAGGGGTCTTCATCGGTTATCCACCAGGCACTAAAGGTTACAGAGTGTGGCAGATGGAAGGAGAGAAGTGCATGTTCAGCAGGAACGTCAAGTTTGAGGAGCATTAGGTGTACCGAGACGTTGTAAAGGGAACTAGTGCATCCAAAAGCACTGATTCCAGGAAAGCTGTTGAGCCAGAGGAGGTCTTCTCAAATGCCTCTGGTGCAGCAAAGCTTTAGGGAAAAGAAGTAGTCGCACAAGCTTCAGGTGGAGTTCCTCAGGGTGTTTTATCAGACAGTAGTGACTCAGAAGAATATGAGACACAATCAGCATCTTCTGTCAGAAATACAGCAAGTACATCTCAGAATGATGCAGCGAGTACACCTCAAAGTACATCTCAAAGTACACCTCAAAGTACAGTCCGGACTCCTAGTCCACATGGACAACCTGTCGTTGTTGATCGTCCCAGGCGAGGGATAGTGCTTCCACTACGACTGCAAGACTGTATTTAGGTGATGAGAATGATGAGGTGGCCTTTGCGTTAATCATGTCAGAGTCAATGTACGTGGAAGAACCCAAGAACTTCGAGGAGGCAAAGGCAAACGAGGAATGGGATAAGTGGGATGGAGCTACATATGAAAAGATGAATTCACTGTGGAAGAACAAAACATGGTTTCTAGTCCCACGAACTAAGGACAGGAAGATCATTAGTTGCAGATGGGTATTCAAGGTCAAGCCAGAAATCGCGGGAGTTGAGCCAGATAGATACAAGGAAAGACTCGTGGCAAGAGGTTTCTCTCAGAATGAGGGAATCGACTACCAAGAAGTCTTCTCTCCAATTGTCAAATATGTGTCTATTCGGACATTATTGTCGATTATGGTTAACAAAGACTTGGAGCTGGAACAGATGGACGTCAAGACGGCATTCCTGCACAGAGACCTGGAAGAAGACTTGTACATGTATCAACCAGACGGGTATGCGGACTCAACCAAGAAGGACTATGTCTGCTTACTCAAGAAGTCGCTTTACGGGTTGAAGC